TCCACCAGATTTCGAACTGCAAACAAGCTATCGATACTGGATCTTGTGCTCACTAGCGAAAAACTCATGGGTCGTAGTGATCATGTTACTCTACTCTGACTATATATGCTATGCGAAGTATGCCGAAAAGGAAAATGATAAAGTACATACTGTCACACGCTATAATGTTTTTATCTATGTTTGTTAAGGATACATCTTGGACCTTCTTAACCGAATGCCCCCAGATGTTGCCTGGGAAACCTTTACAAGGACGTTTAGTACACTGGTAGCGCACGCATCGGTACAGAAGCTTTTCCAACCCCAAAACAAGCGTAAGTCATTTCTGAGGTGCAGAACACGTAAATGTATGTCCAGGAGAGATTTGGCATGGCGAGATCACAAGGACTGCTCGAATGCCAAAACCAGGACTGCATACGTGACACATCGAAACTTCTGTGTGAAACTGATCCGCGAAGACAAGGTCATGCATCAGCAGGAGTTAATGTAGCGCTTCTGAATGAACCGCAAACGTCTGTGTAGACACGTTAAAGGCCTTCGAAAGGTGAAGCGGGAGATCCCAGCACTAGGCACGGCTAATGGGTGCACGCGATCAGCAATGGAAGCAGCCGATCTCCTACGCTTCATTACTCCCAAACTTTCCAGGAGGTAACGAGTCCAAACATTTTCCTCATTTCTAATGCTCCACCATCTGATTTAGACAACATCACCTTCACTGCGGAAGCTGTGTTAAACAAGTTGTTATCCTTGCGTATCCACAGTTCTCCCGGTGCCGACAACATCCGACCAAAGGCTCATCATGCGGTAGCTAGTGATCTAGCAGAACCACTGGCTGTTTTTCATCAATGATGTTTAGAAGAGAACCGTGTTCCACCAGTATGGGAGCGAGGGGTCAACACTCCTATCCATAAAGGAGGTGGGCGCACTGATTCTGCCAACTACCATCCAACAACGCTACTTCCCGTACTATCCAAATTTATGGAATCAATCATCGCAGATGCGCTGATACCGTATCTAGCAAGTCACAACTTAATAGCCCAGAGCAACATGGTTTTTGTCAAAAGCATTCGTGTAATACTAACCTATTAATTGCACGTAATATCTGGACTGAAGCTGTTGATAATGGAGCAGGATTCGATGTCATCTATCTGGACTTCTCATCAGCGTTTGATAGCTAAGACCATCGAATTCTCCTTCAGAAGCTTCGGAACTACGGCATTGGCGACCCAATCCTGAGTTGGATGATGAGAATGGATAGAGTTCGTGACCTCACTTTCGATCCCAAGGGCGTTGATACAATTATTCATATAGTTAAATTTTCGAACGACTTCCAGCCGATCCCCATCAATCATCATCATCATCAACATACACGTTAGCTAGAGATGGGGAACACCACAGCTAATGTGCCGCAATACAAAGAAAAAAGCAGAAAAATGCAACTGGTGCAAGCTTACTGAGCTACCGGTAACGGATGGGCATCGTTCCGGTAAGTTACCAGCCGGCTGCTGTGCATCAAAAAAATTACTATGCAAAATTATATAAGGTTAAATAATGAGATCGTGGTTGGAGGGGGAGGCTAAGAGGGATGGGGTGGAACAAAGAAACTCACAGCACGAACGCCACTGAGGTCGGCTCCTAGCCATATCAGCAAGTGTGTCCAACCAAACGTGTTCATCGTCATTCGGACCCCAACAAGGGAGCCGAAAGGCTCCAACCGAGGCCAGCTCAGAAGTGAGAGCCTTCATTCCTCTCGACCAAGTCATCGCTTGGCCACCCCTCCTCTTCTTCCATCCACACCCCCGGCGCGCAAACAACACATGTCGCGGAAGTCGGTGGGCTGACATGCGTAACACGTGGCCGAGCCATCGGAGCCTGATGCGTGAAATAACGGTGCTGAGCGGTTCATTTCCTTTTCCTGTGCCATAAACAAGGCGTCGAACACGCTCGTTGCTCACGCGGTGTTCCCCACCAAATGTGAGCTAAATTACGAAGGCACCGGTGGTCGAACGTAACTAGCCTCTTCAGGTCCGCTGCTTTAAGCGGCCAGGTTTCACAACCGTGCAGTAGGGTCGAACGTACTGCTGCATTGTACACTCTACCCCTCAGGGTGAGAGTGATGTCGCGCCGGCGCCATAAGTGGCGAAGGTTAGCAAAAGCGCCCCGAGCTTTTGCTATACGATTGGTGATCTCATCTTCAATCCCACGGGCGCTGATACAACCTCCAAGGTAGTTGGATTTTTGAACGACTTCTAGCTGATCCCCACCAAGTGTCCGCGTAGGAGGCGGTCCAGACCAATCTTGGAGAAACGCTTTGCACTTCGAGGGTGCGAAGCAAAGCCCGAAGTGACGGACAGCTAGGGCTAATCTGTCCAGTGCCGCTTGGCACGTTTGTGAGCTGTCACAGATCAGGGCAATATCATCAGCATACTCTAAATCAAGAAGTCGTTCTCCTGGGAGTAGCTCCACACCTTCTAACTCGTGTCCTGTAAACGCGATTTCCATGACTTCGTCAACAGCGAAGTTGAAGAGAAAGGTGACAGCGGACATCCTTGTCTCACGCCGCTGGAGATATTGAAGGGTGACGACAACTTGCCGTAAGCCCTCACTCTGCCCGAGCTACGCGCATATAATGCTCGGATAATATCCAAATATTTCTCAGGTACATCTTTCCTGAGTAGACAGTCCCAAAGTGCATGTCTACCCACCGAATCGAATGCACCTTTGATATCGAGGAACACGACAACGGTGGGCCGCCAATATATGTGACGGTGCTCCAACAACTGACGCAAGGTGAAGATGTGGTCAATGCAGCCACGACCTCGAAGAAATCCAGCTTGCTCTTCATGAATCTGGCTTTCACGAGTGCTAGTCAGTCTGTGAAGGATGACAGAGACAAGCAATTTGGAGTTTTGCCCGGTCAGCGGAGAAGGCCATCCCTTACAAGCTTTGAGAAAAGCTTTACAATTCGAGGGAGCAATGCATAGTCGAAACACTTGAAGCCAGTGTTAATCTGTCCAGTGCTTCTTGGCACTATGGGAGCTGTCACACATTAGCGCAATCTCGTCAGCATATTCCAAGTCAAAATTCGTTCACCTGGGTGCAGCTCCACACCTTCTAAGTCGTGTCCTTTTAACGCGATCTCCATGATTTCGTCAGCAGCGAAATTCAAGAGGAAAGGTGACAACGGGCATCCTTTTCTCATACCGCTAGAGATATTGTTGGACGGCGACAGCTTGCCGTAATCCCGAGCTACGCGTATAGTGTACACATAATATTTGCATATTTATCGGGCACAGGTTTCGTGAGTAGACACTAGCAATGGACACATCGAGCAAGCGAATCGAATGCACCTTTGATGTCGAGGAACACGACTACAGTGGACCGCCAGTATATGTGACGGCGCTCCAATAACTGACGTAAAGTGAAGAGGTGGTAGATGCAGCCTCGATCTCGACGAACTCCTGCTTGTTCTTTACGAGTCTGGCCTTCACAAGCGCCAATCAATCTGTAACAGATTCCAGGAGCATCAATTTGAAAGCCGTGGAAATCAGACTGACTCCCCTATGGTTGCTACATTCCGATCGTGAGCCTGCCTTGAAAATTAGGACTACAATGGAGTGGCTCCAGTCTGTCGGGACAGTTTCCTGCTCTCACAGTTTCACTAGTAATTCGCGTAAATCATCAACAAGAGTAGTGCCGCCGAAGTTGAAGAGGGCTGGAGGAAGATCATCTGGTCCCGCGACTTTCTTCAACATCAGCAGCCCGATCTCACGTTCGAATTCTTAGCGAGAGGGTGGATCCAAAGGGACAACCCACGGAGCAGGGCGATCACTGGCCGGCAAGAAAGCTGACAATTCCAACCCATTAAATTTCCTCTCAAAGGGCCCAGCCCAAAGCTCCAAGGGTTTTGATAAGTTGTGAATAAGCTGTCCACTCTCGTCACGTGTACTTTCACGAACACAAGGTCTCATGCTGCCCGTTTCCCGTATCACAAGGAATAAATTTCGATGGTTACCAATGGTAATGGCCAATTCCATCTCTGGCGTACGAAGAGACTACCAGGATTCGCGATCTCTCTTCAGGCTAGCACGGAGTTTTGCCCTCAGGTCTTTGCGAGTCTCATTGTGTTCGGTGCAATCGGGAATGTGCCGGCGGGCATCGGTAAGTTCCAGAGACCGCGAAGAGATTCAATGTCCATGTTGACTATTAGACTTGACATATGAAAGTTTCTTGCGGCTAGTAAGGTCTGGTGAATATGAGACCAGTGACCCTCAGTTGTATCCAGTGAGCGCTCACTCAACCCGCTTGTCAGCGTACTTGATACGCATTCAGAGCAGCTGGCTTCGCCAGTTGCTTGGAGTCAATGCGCTCACATCTTCGTCGTGGGCGCCCGCTAAAACGCAACCGCAGGCCAGCACGTACAAGTGCGTGGTCGGTGTCCACACATGTGCTCCAAACTGAGCGCCAGTTCTGGACGCAGCCTCTCCAGCGGTAACTGATAGCGCTGTGATCGATTTGTGTCCATATCCAGTTCGAGGCTGGTGGGCGCCAAGTCACCCTCCGGCGGGTGCTGTGTCGGAAGTTAGTGCTCGCAAGAAATAAGTGAGCATCCACACAAATGCAGCAACGGCTCACCGTTATCAGGTTGCCTATGGATTTTGCAAGGTTGCCGCACACACGCAGATCAAGCACTTTCTATAAACCGATGTAGTTTCATGCAGTTTCGTTTGTTACCTTTAGTGTAATGACTCTTGTCGATGTAGGATGATCTATCACACTGCAACACGCCTTTAGCTCAGCTAGCAACTGCATCGGGCTCTATAGAACCGATTAAGATGAGCAAGTATGCTTCCATTTTCTGCGCAAACCACAACCTTCTCATGAAACAACTGTAAAACTAGTTGTCGGGAAAGTCATCGTGGAAATTAACCGAAGGGACCGGATAAAAGAGTTACGATGAACTGGGGATTGCGGTAAAAGTGCCATGAAGCGCAGTGTCCCACGCTTTCAATCGTTCTGTCTAGCCAATGCACAGCGCAGTCAGCTGACTGGGTCACGAGGACAAGTTTATCGAACCCATTGCGCCCCAAGGTCAGCATGCATTTGAACTGGTAGTCGTAAACGTCAGCTGTATGGTATGGCCTACGAGTGGCCTATTCTAGCTTACCAGATACCAATTTATCAACTGCGCTGTAGGATACAAATCATTTGACCGTGCTTACAAATGAGTACCTTGTTCTGCCCGCCCCATCATCATAATCGAACGGCTCCAGTCGTTCAATTTGTGGGGACAAAGTCTTGAGATGAAAACCCCATGTAACTGCCGCGATCTTATAAAGAAATCCACAAGGAATTCTTGGATTCACAGAATACACCAGGTGAATATAGGACTTAGGAATAATTCGCTTTGTTGTCTGCATTTCATGTCCTTCGTTAGAACTGAGAACTGTAAGTTTTCTCTGTGTATATCCTTAGCTTGCATTAGCCAATGCATTCAGGATGGTAAACTGATGTATAGCATATGTTGTTACTGCGCTGTACGAGCTGTCTCTTTAACGTTTGTGAAACAACCAAGGTTTTGTTGCCCTGTTTGTTGTTCTTAACTGATATGTCAATTGACGAATTTGACTGATTGCCGGTAGATTATTGCAACATTGAGAGGGAGAGGATGGGGAGAAAATAACAGTTTACGTCCGCTATGGACTACTAACTGCGATTACCGCACATGGCCACATTTTGATGGCTGATGCACCACCGCCAACCCAGCCACGAAGCAGGAGTGAAGCCACTCAAACTATGCTTGATGCAGTGATGACCACAGTTAGCGGATGTCCAGTGGAAATACCAAAGTTCAGGATGAACAGCACTTTGCTCGAGTGGTCTATTCGGATCGCTGCTGGTAACAACATGATGCGTGGTTGCCAGTGAAGGAAACATTTCCTAGGCGATCGACGGAGAAGTCAGATGGCCCCATTTCTACACCGTGTCTTAGTTAAGGCTGCTGCAGTACCGTCCACGATAATGAGTCTGGGTTAAACCGAATGTGCAGCGTGACATTTCACCATTTGGATGCCTGTGGAAATTGAGTCCGCGTGGCAGCTAACTACACAGCACAACCTTTATGGTCTGACCAAAGGTAGTTTGTCTTAAGTCCTTGTTGATTAAGTGTTTCGCCTCACCCGAGGTGGGAATTAATTAGGTGCCAACAGAATTCCCTTGCTAAACTAACCGGTGATCTAAGTCCGGTGAAAGGGTTAGACTGTTCTTTCTAAAATTAACGCTTGGAGACTTTACATGCCCACCAACGGCTGAAGAACATGGGGTTCAAATTGATTGCAAAAGGTACTTGCCACTTCGGTCATTGTATATTATAACAAGTGGATCCTGATTGATTCAGAAAGTGGATCAGCTATTTAGGGCAGTCACAAAAGAGATGCTTGAAATATTAGTGAAATGTGTTCGTCAGATGTACGTAAACGCCGTATCTTAAATAATGTGCAGGTTCATGGCTCCAGGGTTTCTTCGCTCCTGGGGTTAGTTACAATTTCTCACTAAGTTAATTTTAACAAGTGCCATGCAACCAAGGTCAACACGGTCAACAAGGTCGGTTGAACTATGGAAAGTGTGCCATCCGAATTTCTTCTGGGACCTAGCAATCTTTCATGCATGGATGCGAGAACATCACATTCCATGTGAATACTACAGTCGGTAAGCAAGAAAACAAGTACCGGATCAGGGGAAATAGCTAGTGTTGCGATGCAACATAAATAAGTCTTGATATCGAAGGTAGATTTGAGTTATTAGTTGCACAAACACCAGGTGCTAAGCACCAGCTCAGAAATTAACACTGTGCCCAAGATCTTAATGTTTGCTTTTTAGGTTCGGTTCTAGTTCCTCTTTCAAATCTCGATTCTTCATGCGCATACTATTGTTCGGGCTGGTCATATGAACTGCATTAAGTCCATTATATATATATATATATATATATATATATATATATATATTGCACACCTGGCCAACCTTACAGTTGGCAGAGTACCGCAACCTATGGACAAATATAATAAGATGAAAGCATAAAGAGGGTTACAAGGAAGTGTACAACTGCAGTTATGGTGGTAGATTCTCAGAACATGTTCGCTATTGCTCCCGGTTTCATGACATTTCCGATAGGGTTCCTAGCTATGTGTGCTCGTAATCATTGCGCTTCCAACCAGAGTCGGGAGCGCCCGACTCCGGTCAAATGTAATGTCAACACCTTCATACTTTTGGCTCGTCATTTGCTGGCTACCTTGTCTTCGATTCCAGCCAACTTTTGTGCGCGCAAGAGTGCACAGTGAGGTAAACGCTCATGTAGGCCTGCAAAGCAAGGGCCGAAGCCACCGAAACCTATGTAGTGAAATTATGCGGCTCAGTGGCCAGAAAATCTGTCTGATCTGAAACTCCTCCGTCGCACATCCTGATTACTAATATCATGTTGCCATCGTACACCAGCAATGCTCCGAAGGCAGTAGTGATTAATGACAGAAAAACTCTGAAGACCCTGTGCACGAACAGTTCAAGCCTTGTAACCATAGAGCAGGACCGCTCTCCTCGTGGCATTGTAGACTCGGCCGTTCAAGGAGATACTCAGGGCGCGCCAACTCCAGAGATGGCGGAGATTAGCACAAGCAACCCGGTACTTAGAGACGCACAAAGTATCCTCATTAGTTAACTCGTTTGCGCTGATACAGCCTCCGAGATTGACCTGAAAGGGTTAGTGTGGGAGCAGCTCTTAACCAGTCCTGCTGCAGACAGAAGCTCGGTCAAATGTGTCAACCGAGGATTGGACGTCTAAGAAGACAACGATCGTTGGTGGATCGAACGTCTGACGACGCTCGAGTATTTGGCGGAGAGTAAAGATGTGATCGACACGACTCCGGCCAGAGCGGAATCCAGCTTGTTTTTCGCTTATGTTCTTTTTGCGAACTAGGCTGAGCCTCCTTGGAAGCCTCCTTTAAAGAGCATTTTAGATACAAGCAGATGAATCCGTCTGTGGTTAGCACAGTCTGTTTTTGCACCCTTTTTGAAGACTCGCACGATATCCGCAAGACTCCAATCAGACGAGATTGCTTCGGTGGTCCAAACCTCTTGGCGGAGGGAAGTTAATTCCCGAACAAGTGATGGACCTCCATCTTTGGAAAAAGGCGGAGGGAGTTCGTCTGGGCCAGGAGTTCGTAGCGCTATAGGGGACAAAACTCATGAGCAACTTTAGCCACAAATGGCAGTGAAGCGCCTACACACGACGGCGCGATACGAGTTCCCGCGTTAGGGATCAGCAGTGTTGCCGACCAGTTGAACTGCCGCTCAAAATGAAAAACGAAAAATGAATTTATACGGGCTAATTAGCACCACTTTACAAACCTATTTGGGTGGTCTGGTGGGTTTGCGGAAAATGTTAATGCAAAATACGTATTTACGAGTTTTACTCTCAAAATAATGGACTTATGGTATTTACTGCAGTAGTCCTGTACTCCAAGTACAATAGACGAAAGATTCCAATGGCAATCTTCCTGATTGCAGGCCGCATCTCAATACACTGAGAGTGCCAGCTCACATGATGGTGGTGAAACTTTTGTAACCATACGGCCAAGATCAAAGAACAGGTGAACAATTGAAGGACTACTGGTGAAACCACCGGCCAAGGTCACAGAGTTGTGCATGGCGCTGCGGATGTGTGCCCAGTATGCTACAAAGTCAGAGCATGGGGCGCTCCTTAGGTTTGGGGCCAAAGCGTCCTGAAACGTGCTAAGAATGCTTGGACAGAAAGCATAGCCACGTCAAGCCGTTTCCGTCGAGGCCGTTGGAGTGACCAACATGTAAAGCGATCTTGGCACACACTAGCGCGTGATCCCAAGTAAGTTAAGTACTGCAGATTGATTTACAATCTTGTATTCGACGATGTGGTTGGTCTGCGTTCATGGCTTGCCAAGCGACGAAGCTTCCAAGCCGCGCGTTGGCGCCAGGATCGCCAAAAACTAGTACTCACAAGGGGAAGACCGTGCTCGGCGTAGGACTGAAGTAAGCGGTCACTGCTGTCTGTTTTGTGTGTGCCATGGCCATATTAATTACCGGGTTCGCGCTCTTTAACACCAAGTCTAGTTCCCTGCGCGTCTAAGTCCCCTGAAAACACCATATTCGGAGAAGGTAGGATAGCTAACTGTAGAACTCGTGTCTAACTGACTCCGGGCTGTACTATGTGGGACCGCACTCTGCGACAATGAACAAGCAACCTCTTCCAACCTCTCAACTGGAAAGTCGTACTGAGGTTTCAAGTCGGATCGCACAGAGTCGACTGGTGACAGGGATCCAAGCTAGTGGTACGGCCTCAACACATCCGCTCAACGCAATCCCCACGACGCCAAGACTAGCGGCTTCGGCGTTTGCACCTCCAGATAAGCGCAATGTGGAAATACCAGCGGAACTCTCAGACAGTGAAACCAGTCATAACGTTGTGCTAAGGTCTTGTTACTGGGTTTCGGAAAGACAGCAAACATCATTGGCAATAATTTCAACATGCGAATAAGTGCTGTTTGTGATCCGATCTGCATCAGCTTCTGGACATTAAAGGTCACCAGCTTGAACTGGGAAAGTGGCGCCAGAAAAAGCCTACCAATACTACTTGGCGGAGCACCGTACGGAATGAATTCCTGATCCCTGTGACACGAACACTCGTGCAAGGCGACATGGGGTTGCGTACTCGGAAACGGAGGGGAATTATCATGCATTGGAGAGTTGAACAAACGTGGCATAAAATAACCGAACTGTAGTGCAATAGAGTGCGATATAGCGTGTTCGGCCGCCGGAACCTCGCCTGAAGGTAGCATTTGAAAAGGGGAAAGTGAGGGCTGAAAGTCGTTGCATCATAGGTCCATATGTTTTGTGGACATGTAGCTTTCCGGTTGCCCATGCCGAGGAAGATGGTTGACTTAGGGGACCCCATCCGGAGCCTTTGGTCTTAAAGATCTGACATGCAAGACAGCAGGACAATTGACGTATATCATACCGCTGGAAGCCGGCTACTACGATGATGAGCACATGGGTCCTGAGAAGGGACAAACTACTGAGAACACCAAGCAAACCGGAGGGAAGCAACGCGAAGACCAGAAGAAAGTTTCCTGACCACCGACCTCGCCGAAGGGCACAAAGGTTGTTGACAGCCCGGTGGCTCATTCGCCTTCGTAGAGGCCGGCGACCATCGAGATTGTTCATCCGCCCTAAGCCGAGTACTCCCTTCTGATCGCAGAAGTGAGTGGTCAGTGACCCTATGGTCGGTCACGTTGGCTTTAACACTGCGGCACACTAGCTGTTGTGACGTTTAATGAGGAAGCAGGTGGCCAGCCCAGAACCCTACATGCTCTAGGATGCTGCCGCTGATTGTCGTCGACTGCTTATTCAACTCGCCTGCGAACGGCCCAGACGTATTTACACTTATCTCCGCAAGAAAGGCGTTCCTCGATCCGCAACGCTGCCGGGGGCGTACAGCTGCACCGAACCAACCAATGGTCAGTTCAAACGTAATTGTGATGAACAGATGTAATACTGTAGCGCGCAACTTCGGTGGTTGCTTCGTTGAAGCCCTTGCTAGTAGCTTTATTCTCGTCTAACCTGCCAGTCACGGTTGTGCTTTCTTTCAGAGAAGAATCCTGGACACCACTCACGAGCCCACAGACATTTGTTAGTCGATACTTGAAAGGGCGTGGCAACTTTATCAGTAAGCACACTTACCCAGCGCTGTGCTCATCCAGTGCTTAGTTCATGAACCTATTGATAAGCCGCAAACTTCTTGTTTTATCGCTGTGATCGCTTAATACTTTGCTCTGGGCTTGCATGTAGCACTTGACTTCGACACTATTAAGTCGGTAGATAAAGTGTTAACTTTGCCGATGAACCTCAACATGGAGAAATGGTTCGTAAGTTCATAGAGCAAACCACGGCCGACGATCTGGCGTTATTGAGAGCTCTTTGGTGAAAGGGGTTCACACAGTCTGTAGCCTGGAGCACGAGGTGCAGAAAAACCTGCTAGTCACCCGTGTTTTCGATTTGTTGATATACTTGGTTGGATGGTAATAGCGCATCTTGGACAGTTCTGGTTCGAATAGGCGGTGAACGTATGATTGAATGTTGTCCAAACATGGGTTGAAGGTACCTAAAGACTGATTGGGAATGGATAAGAGATATTTCACGCAAACCTGTTCACTGGGAAGTTCACCGTAACCCCATTCCACTGAAAGAAATCACCGATTCTGGATGGTTAACTTCTGATGTTCCTAGCTGTGCACCGAAAGTGTTATTCGGTTAGTTAACCGAGAGGACATCTAGCGATCACTGGAAGCTGACTTCGGATAGGTTGTTAAAATCATACTGAAAGGACAACTGATGGTCGAGAGTTTACTAGGCAGCACGCTTTTATCTGGAAAGTGTATTTCTTCTGATGAACTTATGCAGTTCGTGACCGTTGTGACAATTCCGTTACTTGATAGCATGGGGAAATCAACCATCTCGCATTTGGTATCACCCTAAATAACGTGTCTGTGTTTTCGCTTACTGCATTTCGCTGGGTTTCTCAGAACGCGACCAGAAATGCATGTGGCATCACTGAACGGAAACCATGGACCCAGCTCCGTTCCGTTGACCGGCAGCTTGGTGCTCGACATGCTTCCCGGGATACACACTTATCTGAATCGAAGTTGAGAACAAATTACCATTTCAGTTGCAACTCAGAATACCGTCAAATTTCTTCAAACAACAACTTGCCAGGTGAGTTTTGCAGTAACTTTGTGGCAGCTTGGGAAATTAACGCCTGAAATATAACGTGAACTTTTTCTATAGAGCATGCTGCAGCTTGGTTGGACGATTGCAGACAGAACATAAAGTTCGACTACATTTTACTGATGTTATGACATGCTTAGCTTGAGTCGTTTAGTGTAGTTTGTTTAGTTAGTCGACATACAGCCACTCCAATTTTCTCGCCCCCAACTACTCACTTACAGACGAATGTCTTAAAAGCTGGTAGAGACTACATTTGAACGAGTTATATCTCTGACCGTCGATTCAGCTGTCTCTTAATAGGTCATTGTGACTGCAGGCCTGCTGCCTGTTGCTTGTTGCCTGTCTGTCCTTCCACCTATCTCTGCTTAGGTTTAAATAATCCCGGAACCCAGAGTGCACATTCCCAAGCTGAATTCGTTCTCCTCTATTGCGACTCGGGCCATGGAATCCTTCAGCGCAAAACCACTGTTTCGTAGTGGGCAGACGGAGAGTGTCATGCACGCACAATACTTCTGCACCGGGGTCAATTTCTATTCTAGTTTCCATTTTTTGCAATTATTCTATGATTACTTTGATCCCCAAGTGACGACTCCTAACCTCGGTGACAGTATTACCCGGGAATCTGGCGCTTAACTCAGGTCTACGGACCTACTTCGCATGGAGTCTTTTGATTACTATTTCCTCTGTCAGCTGAGGTAATTAGCGACGTCTGCACTGACCCCGAACTCCCCAGATACGTCCACAAAACAGCAATGTCATAATATTCCCCATAACTAGTGTGAGCGGAACTACTCTCAGTAGGTGGGCAGAATGTCATAAACTGGATCGGACTGGCAGCATTGATGCAGCTAAGTCGCAAGTCAGACAGATGTATGATCATGGTTATATCATTGGTTCTCCGGCGTATGACTCACTGTCATTTAGTTCGCCGGTGACACCGCTTGGATCTGAGCGAACTTTAGCATCAAGGAACGGATGTAGCAATTGGGTTGGGCATCTGTATACAAAATAACGGTGACTGAAGTTTTTCACCATAGTGATACCGAAGGCATACCTCGAGGTATTTGCGGTGTCGTAGTCGTTCTTAACAAACGGCGGAATTACTTTCCACTCGTTCAAGCCGGTGAGCAACTGTTGTCCTACTTCGATGCTCAACCGGAGTTCATAAACACCAACGGCGCAAGGGTTGCCTTTTAACTCATTGTTGAGGATTTCAGATGCTTTTAGCCAATAGGTCTTCAAAGATACATTTCATGCACACTGAGTGTAGTGGCCTGTTTACGTCTCCAGTGAAAACTTCGTGCACTATTCATCTAGTGCTTTGTGTTTCGGGCAGTATGTATATATACCGTAGGATGTGTCATGTTATAGGTATGTGTGCGTAGTTTAAAGAGAGTGTTGGTTAACTCGGAAACAATCGCGGCTCCCATCCACATGCCTTCCCGTCTTATTCCTTCGGGGTTACACTGGATATGGGGTGTGTGAACGATATATATATATATATATATATATATATATATATATATATATATATATATATATAATTTTTCTACAGTCTACCAATAGACATAGAGCCATCAAAAACCATGGGACTCAAAAGAAGGTACAGAAATAGTACAAAAAATACAGCACAACACATTAAAGTCCATGGTTTCGTCAGAGGGCGAGATCCTACCCGGTTGCCCAGCCCGAAGTAGGGTGTTGACTTAGGAGACACCACCCCGAGCCTTTGGCTGAATTTCCGACCAGCAAGGCAGCGGAACGAATTCTTGGAATCGCGCCCATTGAGAGCCGGTGCTTGATTGCTCAGTTCACACGCTTTTCGTTTGTTCCTTTGTCAAACAGGGGCCCAATGCTCTCCAGAATTACAGCATAAATTAGCCGGAATACAATACTTCGCCAGGGCGAAGCAAGGGGCAGTGACTTTATTTAGTGGCGGATGACATCCGCCACGTCGCAATGTTGTTAAAAGGATATATGTGGCTTTTTATAGGGAGAAGACTTGACGGGGAAAACCCATCAGGTCCTGGAACACTGCCGTCGAACCATTAGATGGAACGGGAAAATTCCGAACCATTCAGCTGGCACCACAAGGAGGTTTTTCGGCAAGCCAGCTGTGAGTGGTGCTGCGCAAACCACCCATGGTCCCTCTGTAGGCGAATGCGTTCTATGACTGTCCTATGGAGGCCGCAATGACAGCCAGATCAGGGATCGGATGCCGCCAACCACTATGTTGCAGTTATTATGCTTCACCGCAGTTGGGATAAAGTGTCTTACACTTGGCTTTTACCGCATTACAATAGTTCTAACCTACTCCATTTTTCTGTGATTTGCGTAGTTTTTTATCTTCCGCATATGCATTTTTTCGCATGTTTTCTCTCGCATTTTTTTGTTTGTCCGTTGATATCCCCGCTTTGTACTTACACTTGTCTAACGTCACCCTAACAAAAGAGCAGCATTCCTATTATTTTCGCTTTGCTCAGTTCTGTCATTCTGCCACACATTTACTGTGCAGTTTGAACGTTTCTCTGATTGCATATTCTTTCGTATGCATTTGGTGCCTCGTGCTGAGGTTGATGTTGCATTCATAATGCTACTTCACCGCAGTTGAGCTAAACCAGTATACACTTAAACTAGATTTTTAATCTGGTTAAAAGTCGTTCCATGCTACTCCTCCCAAGGGTTGGCTGGAGCAGCACCGAACCACCTCCAATTCGCACACGGTCATTGTGATCGTAATGACCGAGGTCTCATCATCATCAGTATACACGTTAGCTGCAGGTGGAAAGCACCTCAGCTATTGTGCCGCAATAAAACAACAAGAAGAAGAACAAAACAGAGGCATGCCGGGTGAGCCCACAGTAAGAGATGAGCATCGTAGCGGAGAGGTAACAGTCAGCTATTGTGCCGCAAAAAGAGAGATTATGCCTAACGCATGAGATCGTGTTTGGAGGGGGAGGCCAAGCAGGAGGGGGATGGACAAAAGAACTCACATCACAAACGCCATTGAGGTCGGCTCCTAGCCATATCATCAAGGGTGTCCAACCAAACGTGTTCACCGTCCTTAGGACCCCAGCCAGACAGTCGGGATGCACCAACTGAGGGCAACTTCGAAGTGAGGCTTTTCATTTTTCTCTGCCAAGTCATTGTTTGGCCTTCCCTCCTCCTTCAAATGCACCCCCGGCGCGCAAACAGTGCACGTTGCGGGAGTCGGTGCTGGCATGTGCAACACGTGGCCCAGCCATCGGAGCCGGGTGCGTGATATAATGGTGCTGTGTGATTCACTAGCTCTTCTTGTACCAAATCCAAGACGCCGAACACGTTTATCGCTCACGCGGTGCTCCAACCAGACATGAACTAAGCTGCGAGGTAGCGATGATCGAATGTCGACCTGATGGGCCAGGTTTCACAACCGTATAAGAGGGCTGGATGGACGGCTGCATTATAAACTCTTCCCTTCAGAGCGAGAGTGATGTCGCGTCTGCGTCACAGGTGGCGGAGATGGGCGAAAGAACCTCGAGCTTGTGCTATACGTCTCCTAATCTCAGCTTAGATCCTACGGGCGCTAATATAGGAGCGCAGGTACTTTAATTCCTGAAAGCCTTCTAGCTGATCACCTCTAAGGCTCAGCGCAGGGGTGAGTCCCTGCAAATTTTGGAGAACTTTGCCTTTCGATGGAGCAAAGGATAGACTAAAACGATTGACAGCCAGTGCTAACCGGTCCAGTGCAGCCTGGCACGTTTGGGCGTTGTCACATATGAGGGCAATGTCGTCCGCATACTCCAAGTCAAGAATTCGCTCACCAGGGAGTTGCTCCACACCTTGTAGGTCGTGTCCAGCGAATGCTGTTTGAATGACTTCGTTAAATACGAAGTTAAATAGGAAAGGTGACATCGGGCAACCTTGTCTCACACGGTCTGTGATACTGAAGGGTGGCGACAGTTTGCCATAAACACTCACTCTGCCCGAACTATGCTCATACAGCGCGTTCACAAATTTTACGTATTTATCAGGCACACCTTTCCTTAGCAGAGGGTCACAAAGGGCACATCGATCCACCGAATCGAATACATCTTTGATGTCGAGAAACACTGCCAACAAACATGGCAGTGCTCCAAAACTTGACGCTAGGTAAAGTTATGGTCGATGCTGCCTCGATTTCGATGAAATCCGGCTTGCTCTTCGCAGATCTGATCTTCACGAGTGTCAGGCAGCCTGTGGAGAAGGACAGAGGCAAGCAATTTAGGAGCAATTGAGCTTAGACTGACCCTTCTATGACTGCCGCAATCCGAACGGGAATCTCCCTTGAAAATTGGGACAATGACAGAGCGGCTGCAGTCTGTCGGGACAGTTTCCTTCTTCCTAAGTTCCATTAACAACTCGTGTAAATCCTCCACCGGAGCAGGTCCTTCGAATTTGTAGAGAGCTGTGGGAGTTCTATCTGCACCAGCAGCCTTATGCAATTTCAACAGCCTGATCACACGTTCGAGTTCGGTGCGTTGCGGCGGATTTAAGGAGGCGGCCCGTGGAGGAGGACATTCAATGCTCGAAAGAGAAGGCGATAAGTCAGGTTGGTTAAACTGGCTGCAAAGTGTTCGGCCCAACGCTCCAAGCGTTTTGACAGGCTGTGGATCGGCTGTCCACCTTCGTCTCGTATTGTCTCGCTAACACCATTACTCCTGTTGTCTATTTCCCGTATCAGACGGAATAACTTACGATGATTACCAACGGCAGCGGCTGTTTCATTTTCCGATGCACAATGAGACCAGCAGGCTTCGCGGTCTTTCTTCAGGCTAGCACGCAGTTTTGCCCTGCGATTTTCGCGAGTCTCATTGTATTCGCTTCCAGCCGGAATACGTCGGCGAGCATCCATAGATTCCAGAGACTGTGTGGAGACCCAATATCGAGATTGGTAATTTGGTTTGCCACATGAGCACATGCCTGCCGATAGTAACGTCTGGCGAATATGCGACCAGTGATCTACGACC